AATGGCAATGCTTTGTCATTAGTGTTTTTCTTTATACCATAAAATTATGTCTATATTTTAAACTCTGCATGTGAAGCTGATGGAAGTTTTCATAGAATTCAAACTTCATTTATGGATTTTTATTATTTTTAGCATGCTGTCATCATAGAGTGCAGTATACATTTTTCTTGTCTTTGAAGGAGTGGTTATGAAAGCTTCTGATTCTCATGATGTCGAGCATTGATGTGCTCTGTTAGGTGATAGTCAGCTCTGCCGAGAAGGTACCTTATGCCTGTTGGCTTTGATGGTCTGTGTGTTTTTTGTCACATTTAGTAAATGATTTTTGAGTTCATATGTGATTTCCTAGCTTCCTGCAGGGTAAGGAATTGCTCCTTTCTCTACCACTGGCAGCAGATAACTATAGCTTGCTCAGGCAACAAAGCTGAGAGTTGAATCATATGGTATTTACTCTGCTTTGCAGTGAAAAAATGGTAGCATTGTCTTAATAAAGACTGCAGGATCCCAATTTATCTTTTTTTTTATTGTTTCTGTATACAATCTGACCTTACTCTAGCTACTAAACTTAAACATTTGCCCAAACTGGAAATCAGTAGATACAGTCAATAATTTCTGAAAGTTAGAGATGTTTTTACCAGAAACAAGTCTTTTAGTTCCCTACTGTTCAGCCACTGACATTTTATCTATGAATTTCTTCCTGATCCTGTGTGAAGTCAAGTTAATTTTCTATGTCTTTTTATAATAGTTAGTTTTATTTCTTAGAGACCAACACGTAATTTACAAGATTATGTACAAGATCAAGTACTTAATCAAGATTTTGCAATATTTTGAATAAAACTCCAGCCCACCCACATAATTTCTGACAGTGTATGTTTAATTCTGCCTGGGAATTATGAGATGGACTAGAATGCTCTTAAGATCCTTCCTAGTTGTGTTACTTTATGGTAATGTGTACATCTTTCAGCCTTAAAATACATTCACGACCACAGCTTTCAGTGATAAATTCACATAAAATGTGTAAATTCTTTGGCAACTCCATATAGTTCGAAAGTCATTTTTTAAATGGTAAGAAATGAATTGTTTTTTAATGGTTAAGAAGTATAATCTGGGTATTGGAGCTGTAAGGTCTGGACATCTAATTCCATAGACAAGAATGTGCAATTAGTGACTTTTTTTCGTTTGTTAAATCCATGCTAATCAGAGGAGAGAATGTAAACTTTGCATCTTGCAGCTTATCTTGTTTATTTCTCAGTAAGTTTATGTCAAACATGATGATTTTATGAAACATGTGTAACGCTGTGGTCTTTCTCTTTTTTTGTCTCTCAAAATATCACCATGAGATTCTCTTTGATGAAAAACTACTTTTTTAGGACAATAGTGCTAATCTCATGTGACAATAGAATGCCTGTCACTAATCTGGACAAGTACAGACAGCATTTGAAAGTTCTGCACACTTGAAAGTCTGTAGGAACGGGATACGGTTTGCTGAGCTTTGGAGGCATACGAACTGTTATTTTTTTTTTTCTAATGCAAGGATCCCAGAATTCTCCAGAAGGAATTCCCTCCGATACATTTACCTTTGTGTAACTGTGTATTTTTACTTCACAAACAGATTAATCTTTAGTCTCCCACAAGTCTCTCAGGTTTTACAGATAGTTTTGCTTATTTGGTGAAGTACGCCCAGTGTATTTTAAAAGATAACAACTCTGAGAAAAAAATGCTGGAACAGTGATACTTATGTACCTTAGGAATTATTTTCATGACAAATTTTGCTATTTTGTCCTTAGACATTGGTGCTCACAGAGGTTTTAGAAAATGTGCACTTTTTTGATAGGATAAATGTTTTAATGTTTGTTCACATAAAATTTTTAACTTTCTGAGCATTTTTGTTTTCAAGGTTTTTCTTGGGTTTATTTTTTATGAGATAGCTACAGACTAGTGAAGTTCCTGCTTTCTCTTCAGTTCCTTTATTTGGGCAGGGGGGATTGTTTTTAAATGCAAAGATTGATGTAATGATTCCTTTCCAGGAAGTCCTAATGATGCTTGATAACTACGTAAGGGACTTCAAAGCATTGATTGACTGGATACAGCTACAGGAGAAGCTAGAAAAAACTGATGCTCAAAGCAGGTAATTAGATTTTTAAAATTATTATTATTTTTTTAATCTACATCCAAATACTGCCTCATAGTGAACTTCATTTTGTAGCAGAGATACAGCAAGTAGAACCAATTTTAGTACCTGCTCTGAAGCATCAAATAGGAAATATTCCATTTGCACAGAATAGATGTGAGGACATAGAGGGAGTTACCAGTGAACAATTCTGCTGGAAATGGTAAAGGTTTTGGAAGTATAGTATCAGAAAGGTACAACAGATTACATCATTATAATTTGTGCCTAGTGTTGAATTTGTACCTTGGTGCCTAAGTTTGAGCTTTGAGAGGTAAGTGAGAAGTAAGGTTATGCTGGTATCATTTGTGCCCGTAGAAGATGGGAAACCTGTAGTATGTGTGGAGTAATACACTTTAGCTCTACCATTTTCCTTTGTTAGGTAGTGCGTTCAATCACTCATCTGCTTAGGTGTAGACAAAAAGTAGACCAAACGTGACAAAGTGTTTTTTATTAGTTAATTACAGGTTGTTAATCCTGTCAGTAGTACTGGAACCAGTTAAAAAATAATTTGTGTAAGTGCTTTTCCTAATCTGTCTCCATCAGCAGTGGGTTCTACAAGTTTGATTTTGGTTTGGATTGCCAGTTGAAATTCTTGTGTAATCAGGTAGCTTCAGGAGCAAGAGTTAAGAAAAAATAAAATAACATCAGCTCCAATAAGGTGCATAATGAGACTGCTTCCACTTCAAACGATGTCTCTTTGAATGAGAACGTTTCATGTTAGTGGCAGTTAATTTAAATCAACTTGTTCAATTGTCTTTGCAAGGACACATTTATCAGTAAATGCTATTGCTGACAAAGTTTGGTATGTCAGTAGTATAATAGAAGGAGTGGAAGGTGATATATTTGGTTGGTTCTAAAGTTTTTTCTATACTGGAGATATGTGATACCTATATTAACTAAAGCAGCATTTAAACTGTATTGAATGCTCTATTACGCAGGATACGAAAACCTGGGGTACCTTAAATGGTTGAGGCCTTTTATGTGCATTATTATTGTCACTAGAACTAGAGGCTATTTCCAGTCCTACCCCTGATTCTTCCCTTTTAACTGGTTGTTTTGAGGTTTGGTCTCACACTGTCATGTAAAATAAGCATTGTAGTCTTGCAAGTATGCATTATTTTTGATATGGGTCTGGCTAATACATTTGGAGTTGGTATAGAAACCATTGCAAAGATATATGATTAAATTCAGCAGTATTCATTAATACTTTACAGCATTTGTTGGTGCTGTTTTTCCTTTAAGGTGATAGAGGAGTAGTTACTGCGAATTTTATTTTTAAAGTTTTCTTTCCTGAATTTGCAGACCTACTTCATTAGCCTGGGAAGTAAAGAAAATGTCTCCCGGACGCCATGTGATTCCAAATCCATCCACAGATAGAATTAGTGCGACATCAAATGCTCGAAGAAGTTTAAATTTTGGGTATGAAACCAGATCATAAGTTTATTAAAGTTCAAATAAGGATTCATTTGAAGCAGAGTGCATGTATGAACTATTTTCTATAGTACTCAATATATTGCTGTTTATTAAGTTGTATATGTGATTACTTGCATTCATGAAAATGAAAACCCTATCAAGGACTTAATTTTTTTTAATTACTTCATTATATATTTAATTACTGGCCATTCCAAAGACCTGAAGATAAAATACAATTAGTGTATTTTATGTTACCTGTTTAGTACTTTCTTCCCACTACAAAACAAATGTGAAAATGTCTGTAATTGGTATTTTAAAATTGCCAGTGTATGCAATGCGAATGGCCAACAGAGTGTGCAAAAGTAAATATAGGTCAAAAAGAGTGAATGTAAATTGAGATTCTGAAGATTCTGAATGAATAGCAAAACTGATATTAGTTTAAATATAGAACTGCATAACACATCTTTTACTTGTTAAAATGAAAATGCTGTTTGAAAGCAGTTCAACAAAAATGTGCATAAACACCGTTTTAGAGCAGCACTGTCTGGTGCTGTTTCAGTTCTGGAGAGCATATAAGTGTCCAATTTAAATCTTTCTCAAGGGTGTGTTTTTGAGTTGATTCAGGTTTATTTGGATCTCTACACATACTATACTTATTTTCATAAGTGATTAGTGTCCTCAACAGAAATACAATATTTTAATATTCGGTCATTACCTCTGAGTATTGAGCTCTCTTAAATTTTGAATGTGAGGTATTTCTACAAAAATATTAAAAACTGTGGTGGAAAAGTCGCTCCAATGGTGCTAGTCTCTTTGTAGCTGTATATATTAATACCTACCTGACAACATTTGAGAGGTGTCTGCTTAAATGCATGAAGATGGGGAGAAAATGGTCTCATTTGACAAGTAGTCAAATGAAAAATCTGAATCTGGTGGGAATCAATGCTCTTTTATTTTTATTAGAACACAAACAACAGCTCAGCATGATGATGTCTTTCAGCTAAGCCTTTTTCGCATGTAATTACCTGTTGCTATTGTTGCTGGAGCTGTTTTGTTCACCATCACAGGGAGATGATTAGCAGCTCTGTGTTAAAGCAGCTAATAAGATGAGTTTTCTGTCCTTCGGACTTGCAAACTTTCTTCTGTCTACTTTGTCTCAAAGCAAGGCAGCACCAGACAACAGAAAAGAATTGGATGCTTCTTGAACATGTGCTTCTGGAATGAATGTTACTGTTTTTCAATGGAAAAAATTTTGCTTGCATTCACTTAAATAAAACTGTATAGGTTTGTTGATCTAAACCTTGTGCAGGAAATGGCAATTTTTTACAAAAGGCAAAACCAAATAATTTAAAAAACACAATATAGTTCTGTCCATCCACAATTTGAAAGTTCGGACAGTCATTTGCATCTTTATGAAGGTTACTAGAATGCCCTTCCAGATTTACAATATATTTTTGCTAAATGAATAATGGAAAATAGATCTAGTATTTTATTTACTTAACCTAGGAACAGAGTATGTTATGGATTTGTGTGATCCACACTGGCAGTTAAACCTGCACTTTTGTGGACTTCTTGCACATAGTCTTTGTTAGAACCCTGGTATTAATAATGGGTGCAGCCCATTCTGTGCAGTTTGTTGATGCAGTTGGGCAGGACCCAGGGAGGTGCAATAGAAGAGCTGTCACATTTGGCTGCAAATACTCACCATATATTTATTTCTATGATTTGAAAATTTAGTATCAGAGAATGTTTCTGGTGGGGAATTGTTTGTCCATCACTATGGTGCTGCATGTTTCTTCATCCACTAGACATTTTTAAAATTTTGGAACTAGTCCGAGTCTGAATTGGTGAACACCAAGATTAATGAGAAAGTGTCCCGATAAAGTTTTCTAACGAACCATTCTGTTATTTGATTAGACACTAAAAAGAACCCTTTCATTTAGGAACCCTGCAGTGGCAATTTCTGCAACACGCCTGGCTCCTTCTGGTGTAAGTTGGGCTGATAAGGTGAAAGCCAATCATGGAACTAAAGCTGCCGGTCCTGAGCTAGCAGCAGCACAAACCTCTCTGCCACCTCCAGCACAGAAGTCATCGCGGAAAAATGGCAAGTCTCTTTCAGTGACCTAAGTTATTTTCACAAACTGTGTGGTATGAAATCAGTTCAGAGTGTGATGACCTATTTTCAAACTAAAATTAAGTACAGTTTTTCAAAATACAGTGTCTGAATTAAGTATCAAGGTAAGAGATTAATGCAGCCTTACATTATCATTGTGATAATGAAGTTTGGGACAAAGTTGTGTTTTCACATGTAGGCAACGTTCCACTGTATTTCCACTAACTAGAATTTAATCAGTTAAAATGCCAGCAGATCACACCCAAGAAACAAAAGGTCTTTGGTCGCAAACTGATCATCCAACTGTCTCCAATTTGGAATGGTTTAGCAATATAAAGACTAATACATGTCCACAATCTGGAAAAGAGCTCAAGGTAGTTTTACATGCCCATGGAGACAATGTTACCAGAACTGTGCTGAAGTAACAATTTATGGTTTGTTTTTTTTTTTCTTTGAAGACAAGAATGGCTGCATTAAGTTATGATTTGTTTCCCTAAAGATTCCCCGTGCAGAATGCTTGATGCTGGGATCTTTTCCTTCTAGAAAAATTTGTTTAGTTAGAGACATAAAAAAGCTTTACCTTTTGGTTTATGAAGTTAGTTTCTTTGCACACACTGGAACCCTGAGATTGTCTTCAGAGATGCATTTTTTTATGTGTGATTTCAGATGACTTTCTGCAAAATCATCAGGCAGGCTTTAGAAATGGATATTCTTAAAAAAAAAAAAAAAAGAAGAAATGGTCATAATTTGTGGGGTTTTTTTAAAGAAAAAATACTGTAAGAGAATGTGTTAATATAACATAGGTGTACATTCAAACTAGTAGTAGTAGAAGTCATATCTAATGGTTTGGAAACTTGTGGTATATTATGGAACTAAATACCTTGTCCAAGTGTCTTGCGATGTAACATAAGTGAGTTCAGTAGCATTCAGATTCTTATGCTTAGGAAAGAACTATCAAAGCCATACTCTAAAAATGGTTGTTTGAATGGGAATTGATTGATGTTGTTTGCATGAGGGAATATCTTGCAGTGGGCTAGTTTGAGAACAGTAGCAATGTGGTTGAGTTTTCAACTCTCTAACTGAAAGTGTAATTCCACTTTTAATTTTTGCCAGTAGTTGAAGCTATTCATAATGAACCCTTTTTCCGTTGATTATTGCTCATATTAAAGTGACAGATTCCAAACTGTTGTTAAAATACCTTTATTAGGGATTTTTGTGACCATGGAGAATTTTATGAGCTGCAGAGGGAATAAAACTGATCTGCACTTCTGTATGGATAACATATTTTTCAGAGAGTAGAAGGAAAACAAAAGACACTATCCTTATGTTAGTTTTAGACATTTAAATGGCTGAAGAGTCAGTGTTGTGATGTGTTTTATTGGCTGTTATTAGCAGCTGATGAGCTCCAAAACCAGCGAAACCACTTAGGTCCTGTAGTACTGGCCTATAAATGGTCAGTAATTTTTAAAATCAAATGTACTTTCAGACTTTCATTTTAAGAAATAACAGTCTTTGTTCTTAAGAATTTCTTAGCTCTGACATTCAACATTGGAGAATTTGATTTTCTCATGGCTGAATTGTAATGTTTTTAACGAATCAAATTCTCTTTAGGAGCATATTATCCTTTGTGCGGAGGCTAGAATCACTTTGGTAAAATCAAATTAACCTCACTGATAGGAGCACAAGAGGATCTGTGAAGTTTACGCAAAGGGAGTCGCAAAGGCTCTTCACATGCATTATTGAAGCAGAAATGAGGCTTGTGTATCATCTGCTCTGCCTGTCCACCAGCTAATGCACTCACAGCTGTTAGGTACTGGCCTTGTGGGAGGGAGGATTCTTCCTGCCACCCTGTAGCGCTCACTTGCCCCGCTAAAGCCCAGCTGGGGCTTAGAGTGGCAAGATTTCCCTAAAACGCTTTTTCTCCAGTGATTGCCAACAGCATTATCGTTAAGCCTGACAATGTTTTTGTAAAGTGGATGAGTGGTATGATACTGTATCTGTTTCACGGTTGATGGAATTTCCAAATTTAACTAATGAAGTCCTTAGGGAGAGAGAAAATGCATTCTTTTTCCAGAGATTTATTTAAATTATTTTTTTTCTGGATGCATAATTAAATGAGGTTAAATACTCTTATCTCATTTCCCTCATTAAACTCACTGTTATCTCAATATTTTCATGAATTAAAAAAATGAATAATTTTGTCTTTCATGCCTGAGTGGTTTCTACAATATGAAATATAGTCCGGTTTTATTGTCTGACCATTTTATGGCAAGAGAAAAGATTGCTTTTAGTAACAGTAATACACAGAGGCAATAGCCTAGTGTGAAATTAATTTCCAGGTGTTCATGGTAAGAGGTGAGATAGGTGCTAGAAGTTTACAGTGTGTATTAAGACTGGAGGTAGGTGTTTACAGTTAGAATAGTTGTTTAGTTTTTATACTTAGGAGAAAGCCCAGTCAAGAACATATGAACTTCTCACACATACCAAATGGTTTTTTTTCTGTTGCCATACTTGAAATCTAGTTTTAATAATTACTATTATTATTTTTTTTCCTGTATTAATTACTCACGTCCATAGTTATGAATAGGTATTCATAATAGACTTTTATGAAGACATAACCAAGTGGC